AGCAAAACCACAGCCAAGGGAAGGGGTTTGAAATAATTAGAGGGGAAAGAAGACCCTTTTGTTCTTGACTCTAATCTGGCAGTGTAAACTGTAAACCAATCAAAAACTTTGCGACAAATTGTCAATGCTCCGTTTTACGTATCTAATGCAAACATCCACAAAGATCTGAATATTCCAACCATTAAAGAAGAAATAAAGAAAACCAGTAAGAAATACATCGACAGACTCCACAACCACGAAAATAATTTAGCCTTAAGTCTATTAGACAATAGCCTAACAGTAAGAAGACTGAAAAGATACCACATTCTCGATATCCCTGATAGATAAATTTAACAAACTAAAAAGATGTTATATATAATAGCAGGGCTCATTGGAAAACTGCTATTTCTGTTAATTGAATATTAATTATACAATTTACTTATTGTTTAAAAACAGATTGTAAATATAAAGAGAGAGAAAAAAAAAAAAAAAAAAAAAAAAAAAAAAAAAAAAAAAAAAAAAAAAAAAAAAAAAAAAAAAAAAAAAAAAAAAAAAAAAAAAATTATGAAATGTTAAAATAAATATTCTTTGTTTTCCACGCTGTTCATAAATAAAACAGTTTTGTAACACATTATGTAACACTTTATTGTTCTTAGTTTTAAGGCCTCTTCTCAGGGGAGCCAACATCCAGCAGCGGCTCGGACTGCATTTTCCAATGCTCCAGCACGTAGGGCAAACGTTCGCTGGGATCAGTGCTCCAATGGTGCAGGCGGCACTTGAGCGTAGCCTGCTCCAGCTTATTGATGGTTATGATGCACTGGAAGTCTTTGCTTTCCTTCTTGAGATCGGGCCCCTCAATGCGCTCCTTCGGCAGGGTTATGCACTCCTCTTTGCAATGGAATCCGGCCTTGCGGAGCGAAGCTTTGATATGCCAGGGCTCGAGTACCCACGGCTCATCCTTGTTCATGACCACAGCCAAGACAATGGTCTCCAGCATGTTGACCGTCCGTTGAGCATACGCCGAGCTGTGCTTCACCGCCGACTTCTCGGCATCTGTCTTCGCGTACTTGGCAATGTTCTCGGGCGTTTTGTAGGCCGCCAGTCCAGGCAGCAGCAGTTTGTTGTAGACGAAATGAGGCTTCATGGACACTACGTCACCCTTGTCGCCGACACCTTCGACAAAGGTCTTTAAGACGACTTCCATGTTCGGCCGCTTTTTCACTTGCGTGTCCTCCACCAGCTCATAGATAAAGTGCTTTGGCCGCATAGGCCGGGGCCGCTCGTTGGTTTTGTGCAGCAGCGGTTCATATTTTCGTTTCAGGATGAAAGTGGTCTGCAAACGGACAAGTCTTGAATGGAAGTTTCCTCCTCGATGGCAACACTACTTACCCGGACTTGCTGCTGCAGGCTGGATGCACTTTTTAGAAAATTTAGCTGTGTTACGCAGATATTTTTCAACATATTTTCTCGTGTTTACAACTGACCGAAAGCGCGAGGTCTGGCAGCTCCTTACGTAAGATATTCGGGGGATATGGCAGCCCTGCACATGCGCTATTTAGCGCGAAAATATAAAATGGGCGCGAAGGTTATTTATTTCGTATTTATTTACAATTTACAAGATATTTGTCGCTTACAATTACACTTAGACAAAATTTATGGCTCAATTGTATTTTGGATCCAGTCAACGTACTTCCCCACGAGCGTGTACACACCCGGCCAGCCGGCCAGGCCGCAGGGTGTGGGGCCAAACGAGACCACGCCGGCCAAGAAATAATACGTGTTGACTTTATTTGTGTCCAGGCCAATCAACGGACCCCCGGAGTCGCCGCGACACGAGTCGATGCCCTCCTTGCCACCGGCACACATCTGCGTATCCTCCAGCATTATGTCCTGGCGGTTGTACACGGCCTGGCAGTCGTCCATTCTGGTCCCCTCCACGGCAGCCTTGAGCTTGAGATTGCTAGAGGAAAGCTCCTCCGTCTTTCCCCAGCCAGCCACGTCCATGGTAATGCCATCGAACGTGGCCGAGCGTAGATTCACATCAAGGGGCAAGCAAATGGGCCGCACAAAGTCTGTGTACTCCACTTGTCTGACCAAACGCAGCAATGCAATGTCATTGACCTGATTCTTAGAGCTGGGAATGTATTCGGGGTGCGGTATAGTGCGCTCGACAGGCACATCCAAATGCGCAGGAGCACAGTCCTTCATTCCCCGCACATCCACCTCGCAGTCGGGGTCGGTGGCAGTGTCCCACTCGCCCAGGCGCACGCCAGTCAATCGCCAGTCGGTGGGCAACGCTTTGCCATTGACACAGTGCGAGGCCGTCACCACATACCGAGTGCTGATCAAGGAGCCACCGCAATGATGGCCCTTTTTGTCAGCGGCTACAGAAGGGAATGGAGTAAAAAAAGTCAGCCATTATGGATATCTTCAATGCCTTACTTTTGGTGTATTCTATCAATGCCATCCAGGGGAACTCATCAATTTTGGTGCGGGTGCCACCGTAAATACGATTTGACAGCAGATTGCCGCATTGTCCGGGCAGCGGCAACAGATTGCTGTTGGTGATGTTTGGCTGCACAGTCTGCGGCGTTGTGTTTGGGCTGGTGTCCCGATACCGATCCAGGCAGCAGATCAAAACCTTTCCGTTCGTATAGCCACACTGGCTGCGACTCAAATAGAGTCTGTCGGTGTCGCGTAGCGGGCTCGTCGTCAGCACACCATACAGATATTTGCAATCCTCCAGATGAATGCAAAGTGCACGTTCCCGATTGGGCGTAATACAGCGGCCATAGTTTGGCACTTGTGCGGCCTCATTGGGGAAATAGAACTCTGCAGGGGCGATTAAATACTATATTTCAATTCTAATTCCAATAGTAAACAACAATTTGCTGTGGCGAAACCGCTCGATGAATATCTAACAACTATTAGCATTAGATATAGGCAATGGAACAGGTTTTGGGGTTTCAGAAGACATGCGAAGGCCCAGAGCACAAGCCAATCTCAGTCGTTTGTGTTTCCCTCCACTCCACGCCATTCTACCATCTTCAATGTTTACTTACGCCCGGACACGGTTGACAAGCTGGCCAAAATCCCAAAAATTAAACAGATGTGCTCTTTGTTGAACATTTTTCATGCAGTGTCTGTGCTCGCTAAATCCTTTCTCAAGACGTCGTCGATGATTACGCAGCTTGGTTAAGCTGATAACAAAATAAACACCGCGATAATGTGGGGGCTGATCTTCAGCTGTGACTAAAAATACGATGACTAAAACGGAATTCCCGTGGATAGGTGAGAGGAGAGCTTGAAGCTTGAGCTTTGCGAGCTTTGAGCGGACGAAGCTTTTGCTCTCTCGCTAATAAATTCGTATCAGGTATGAAGATAGTTGAGCTCGGCTTTTTATTTTATTTTTATTATTAGACTTTGGCATTGAAAGCTTTGGATGGACGCCGCTCTAAGTAGCTGCCGGTCAGGGATTAGGACTGCCCGTCCTGCTGATGCTACTCTGAATCCAGTCCGAAAAGCTGCTGACCAGCGTGTAAACACCCGGAATTGTGGTCACACCACACAAAGTCGGCCCAAAGGCCACAATGCCAATGAGCGTGTAGCGTCCATTGGAGGCCAACAGGCCAGAGGTGCCATCGTCCATAAAGGGTCCACCGCTATCGCCACGGCACACATCATTCATCGGCTGGCCCTGGGCACACAGGTGACTGGGCGTGATGACAATCGGCTGCTGGAAGTTCTCGCTGAGCTTGGCATACGCAATCGCACAGCTGGTGGTGTTCACAATGGGCAGCCGTATAAATCGCACCGTGGAGGAGGATGTCGAAGTGGAGGAGGATAAATTTCCTGAAAAGTCGAAAAAGTAAGCATATGTTATATGGGAACAGATCATCGTAGGCTTTGCATTTCCCTTTTGGGAGCACAAGTAACCAGTCAGGCAACTGGTAAATCCAGTCAAATCGAACGTGAGCCGTTTTCTGCTTTAATAATTCAGATATAAAGATAGAAGAACGGACAACGAACAAGAACGAACAACGAACCTTCCGAATTTGAAGTGCTCCAGCCGGCGGCAACTCCCGATTGCCCAATCAGCCTATTCCCGAGTGTCTCACTGCTGTTCAAAGGTAAGCAAATGGGCGTGAATATATCTGGAAAGACGAGAAACTTAGTGTTTGGTTATGTTATGGGAGATTGCTAGTATGCCACTTACTGGCCGTACTGTTAAGCCGCAGCAGAGCAATGTCGTTGGCATAGCGTGGCTGGTCGAAATTTGGATGCACCAACACTTGGTCGATGGCAAACAGATTGGAGGCATCCTCCGCACTGGCCGCTGCATCACCGAGCCGCACGTGGGAGCTGGGAATGAGAGTTAAGCTTAGATTAGAATGGGGTCACTTGCCACAATACTTACACTTCTAGATCACCCACGAGGTTGACCACACAATGAGCGGCAGTCACCACATAGTTGCCGGCGATCAGCGATCCCGAGCAGCGGTAGCTGATGCGGCTGCTGCCTGAAACGGGTTTGGGTTGAATGATTAATGCTCTTTCGTCTCATTCAACAGCGCCCTATTGATAACATGGAGGTGAAAGGATGTCCCTGTGTGACAAAGGCAAATCTGCCAGCCTCTGGTAATGGAGCTAACCAAGGATCTGGACAACAAGGTCCACAGCCGGGCGGACCGCCCGATGCCCGTCGTCGGCCATGCGGTCCAGATCCATGTGGAACAGAAATGTGCCCCACTACCAAGTCGAAGGGTTATGCAGGTGGTGCCCCTGGTGCTGGAACTGGCGGACATGGCGTTGGCCCGAACGACACGCCCGGCGGAGACCCTTACGGTGCACCTGGCGGCGGTCGCAACGGTGGACCTGGAATGGGTCCTGATGGGCGTGGCGGCCCCAGAACTGGCGGATATACTGACGGTCGTAGCGGCGGCACAGACAATGAAGGACCCTATGGCAAAGGATATAACGATGGTCGTGGCGGCGACACAGACAATGATGATGCCCGTGCCGATGACGATGCATATGGCGTCGGTCCAACAGCTAAAGGATATAAAGATGGACGTGGCCGTGGTCAATACGATGATCGTGGTCAGGGCGAAGGAAAGGAAGGAAAAATGGGTCTGTGCATAGCTGTGGCACTCTTCTCCGTTGGAGTCGCAACGACCATCAGTCTAGGAGTTGCGGCCAATGAGCTGGGCTAGGATCGCCAGAAAGGATCGAATACAAATCTCAGATAAACACAGAATCCAGAACACACCCAATACAGGATACAACCAATCCAAGCATCAAACTACAGTCAGGCGTTTTGTTCGCAATTAAAATTCTAAATTCCAGCAGTCCCGAGGAGTCTATGTGTGTCCTTACACACTTCTGTTCACTTCACTCACTTCTGTTTCGGTAGGCTATCCTCGCCAGCCATGGGTACTGTCCGGCCGTGGCTTGGTCTCCTCCAAGCAAACGGCTCTCAATGCTAACCCCGCAGGTGGCCACTGGCGCAGGAACAGCAGCTACAGGCGAAGGAGTAGGTAACGAAACGGACGTGGCAGTCGGTGACAGAGCCGTGGTAAAAGGCGCCAAGGGTGGACCCTGACTCACGTCGGTACTGGTCTCCGGGTCGCCGCCGTGTCGGAGGAAGCGCAGATCGCCAGGAAACACAATAGGCTTATCCTCTGGGGCAGGACGCGGCGAGGATTGCCAATCGCTACTGCCGTGATCGATGTCGTAGTGAAAGGAGTGACTTCCGCTGGCAAAGCGTTGATCGTAGAACTCGGCATCCACTGGCTGGGGACAGTTTCTCTGCTCCTTGAAGTCCCAGTAATCATGAAGATTCATTTCTGTTTCGTCTTGGACCAGGTCTGTGCTGTCGCCCCATATCCAGCGCTCGTTCGGTGGGGCAAAGCGTAGCATGCGCATAGGCCTGACCGTTGATGACTCATGGCGCAGGCGCTGGGGGCAGCACACCAGCGGGTCGAGTCCGTCAAAGCCACAACCAGCGGCGTGTACCTTCGCAAAGACGACTTCACGCTCTTCGGGCCGATGATGCAGCAGAAGACGAGTAAATGCAGCGCACTCTCGGATGCGAATGCAGTTGCAAGCGGCCAAGCTTCCACAAACGAAATCGGCTGAAACGAGAACGGGCTGGGGATGACAATGCTTACTCAACAGTCTGTCTGTCTGTCTTTCGTGCCAAGGTCAATGTCGGCCAGCGCCAAACCAGAAGTGCCCCGGCAATTACTCACACACACACTCACTTTTTGGTTAAGTTTTGTTCGCGGTTTATTGCCCTTCGCTTTGTGCGGCGCTGGCCGAGCATGATGCCAGCACATTTGCTGCTGGGAATTTCTAGTTCGATTGACCATGACCCACTAAGCTGTCGGTTCTTTAATTGAATTCCCTTTCTCGAACCTGCCTCGACTCTAAAGTCTTTTGAATGTACTAAGAAACTCACATCGGAGCAGGCACAGAGTGCAGCACAATATCCAAATGAGTTTCGCAAGCTGTTGCCCCATTTCGTAGTTTTATCAATCACAACTGATCGAAATCTGGGAGTTTGCCGCGAACACAACGTTTCCCGTCGATGTGCGAAATTGAAATAAATTGGTTCAATCGGTGAGCATACATATCTTATTTCCATTTTCATTTCGATTTCAATGCGGCGACGACGAATCTCAACAAAAAGAGAACAACGAAAAAGCCAATTATCAAGCCATAAACTAAATTTAGACAAAAGAGCGGTCGCTGTCTGCCCAAAAGATCGAACGGCGGCCTGCAGCGGGCAAAGACATTGCCGGCCAAAGCTGAGTAAGCCAGAAAACATGTTTCGGTGCGCTTCCCGGCCAGAACAAGATCTGCAGAATAGGATAGAATGCGTTTGCCATTGCCGATTACGAAGGGGACTCCTCAATTGAGCTCTTCTTGTGTATTTTATATGTTTAACTTACAGTTGATGATGCGCTTAGAATAGTAGATGAGAAAGTACGCACAAAAATATAGAAATGGAATGTTGGAACAGAGTTTTATGACCCCAGAGTCGTGGTTAGCTTGTGCTTTAGAACAGTAGATGTTCGGATAAGTTTTGCTTATCTCATAGAGGCCCAAAGCGGCACAACTTACATAACTAGAAATGCATTTTGCTGAATGGAATGTCGTGTTGATGGTGCTGACAGTGACACATGCGACTTAAGTACTTAACTACTCATTAGGCCTTCTTCGTTCAGATTGTTCGTTCTGGTTTGTCTCCGACACAAGCCACTCTGTGCATCTATGCCACCGGGGGTACCACCTCGGCAGAGGCTACCGAGACTGTAACGTTATTCTCGACCTGTTCTACAGGTTCGACGCTCGGCTGGGGCGATGGCGATGGAGACGTCGAGGGCGATGTATTCACCGCAATGGTTGTCACCGCAGCCGATAAATACGGACCATTCACATCAGCATTGCAATCGTCACCCACAGACGCACGCTGCTCGTCATTGTCTTTGTCGTCATCGTCGTCGTCATCAACTGGCGTTTCTTGACGCAATACCGCTGCTAAATGGTTATCATTATCTGCTTCTCCCTCCACCGCCTGTCTGGGGGCTGGGATCTCGGGCTGCGGCACATCTGCTGCTGGAGCCGCAGTTTGCACAGCATCTGCGACTGCAGCTGGCTGCTCCAGTTCAATGTCTTCGCCCGCTGCTGATCCATTTTCATTTAAATGAACGGCTACGTCACCATTGTGCACGCCGCCATGGTGCCCCTTCAGCTCATTGATGATCTTTTCCCCCACTTTCGAGTCGATTTCGTTGATCTTTTCCTGCAGCTGGCATTTGAACTCGATCGGCCACTTCGGGCTCCATTCACGAAACAGCTTAATCTGTTGACAATGCACAGTTAGTGGGCTTCAAGCGTCGGGGCTAGGGAACTTTCTAATACTTACACGGCACTGGAACAAGCTCATGGGCTTGTCCTGCACGCCTGCGGTTGCCAGGGCGTCTACAATGCCATTCACATGAACACCGCCCACGTCCGCGCTGGAGCCTCTGGTTAGGTATTCCACAAACACATACGCAAAGTCGTCGCGCTGCATCTCGCTCCACTCGTGGAACCACTGGATAACGTAACGGAATTCTCCGTCTACGGACAGATTGCTCATGGACATCTTTTACGGTTGATTTGCTCTCTCTCTCTCTCTGTTTCCCACGATATTGCACCCCCGCACTCGCACTCGCTCAGACTCACGGCTTGTTAATTTTCAATTGATTGCAACGATGCGCTGGATTGAATTGTGCTGGGTACTGATTTTGGTGCTGCTTGCCACTGTAATGCCACACTCTCAACACAGTAAGCGCTCTCCGCCAAAGTTTCTATACCAACAATAAAACCCGTTTCCTTTTCTAAGTTTTCTCACAGCTCCGCTTTGTATCAAATCCCGACTGACTCAGATCAGCTGTTTGCACGGTATCGTTATCGACGTGCTGCACCTGTAGTGAGACGTCTCAAATAAACATAAAGCAGCGAAATTGACAAAGCAGATATTAATTACGAGATTTATTCAAACGCTCAACCGTTAGAATACTCATTACTGATTAGATTATTGCGTGCGTCTGGTAGAGAATTTCATATCGATAAGATTAGTGCCGTGTTGCATAGCACTAGCGCCGTTCAACCTGTCGTTTGCCAACTCTAGAACATTTTCAGACAGTAAATAACTTTTGGAAAATCGCTTACTGCAACAAAAGATATGTCTTCGTCCAAGCTAGAAATAGAGCAAACGGCTGGCGAGAGCCACCAGAAACAGCCGGGTGCAGTTAACGCGGAGATTGCGGGCGGCAAGGAACCAGAAACGGCCTCAGATGAGGGCGGCCCAAAAAATGATCAAGATTTTGCCGCGGCCGAGCAGTACAAAAATCAGGGAAATGATTTGCTCAAAAGTAAGTGACACACACTCCAGTTTATAACATACACCATGCCATTCCCAGATTGCAGAGTGCTTGGACGTCCATATGCGTTGCAAAACCATACATTCCGAATACCTTTCTCAACCTAACCTTAAAACAGGAACAAAAACTATCACTGTGCTGTGCGATAATTTACAAGACAAGTCGTCCCACAAGCACCAAGCATGAAGCACCAATCACCCAGCATCATGAGAGTATAATTAGTATTGTCACTGACCCAGTTCCCTTCGATTTCCCTACTTGCCAACAGCCAAGGAATTTACAAAAGCCATCGACATGTATACCAAAGCCATAGACCTGTATCCCAACAGCGCGATATATTATGCCAACCGATCGTTAGCACATCTGCGCCAGGAGAGCTTTGGCTATGCCCTGCAGGACGGTGTGTCGGCGGTGAAGGCAGATCCCGGCTACTTGAAGGGCTACTACCGCCGTGCAGCGGCCCACATGTCGCTGGGAAAGTTCAAGCAGGCGCTGTGCGACTTTGAATTTGTAAGTAAACCCCCCGCCAGCAGAGTTCAACACATAATATACGTATTTACAGGTAGCCAAATGTAGACCCAATGATAAGGATGCCAAGCTCAAGTTCACCGAGTGCACGAAAATTGTGAAAATGCGTGCCTTCGAGCGAGCCATTGCAGTGGACAAGCCCGAAAAAACGCTCGCAGAGATGTACAGGGACATGGAAAACATAAGTATGTGGTGGACACACTATTAATATTATTCAGCTTATGTATAATGTATGTATGGGCATTCCAGATATTGAGGATGACTACAATGGACCACAGCTGGAGGATGGAAAGGTAACGCTGCAGTTTATGAAGGATCTGATGGAGCATTACAAGGGACAAAAGCGATTGCATCGCAAATTTGCCTACAAAGTGAGCAGGCTTAAGCGAAGGCACATGTCAAGCTGTCCTATATTCCTGCCATTTGTTTTAGATACTCTGTGAAATTGATACATACATGCGTGCTCAGCCCTCTCTGGTGGACATCACTGTGCAGGATGAGGAGAAATTTACGATTTGTGGTGACATACACGGCCAGTTCTATGATTTGATGAACATCTTCGATATAAATGGACTGCCTTCCGAGAAGAATCCCTATTTGTTCAATGGAGACTTTGTGGACAGAGGCTCCTTCTCCGTGGAATGCATATTCACGTTGTTTGGCTTCAAGCTGCTATATCCCAATCACTTCTTCTTGTCCCGCGGTAAGTTAAAAACTACTCGGAACGACAATTTAGTCCTCTGATTGATGACATTTGGATTGCAGGTAACCACGAGAGTATCAATATGAATCAAATGTACGGATTCACTGGCGAGGTAACAGCTAAATACACCAGCGCCATGGCGGATATATTCACGCAAGTGTTCAACTGGCTGCCACTGTGCCACTGCATCAATCAGAAGATACTGGTAATGCACGGCGGTCTGTTTTCCTCGGATAATGTCACACTGGACAACATCAGGAGAATCGAACGGAACTGTCAGCCACCCGAGGAGGGACTTATGTGCGAATTGCTGTGGTCCGATCCGCAGCAATGGATGGGCCGTGGGCCTTCCAAGCGCGGTGTTGGCATACAGTTTGGACCGGATATAACTGAATCATTCTGTAAGCTCAATAACTTGGACTACATCATACGTAGCCACGAAGTCAAGGATATGGGCTACGAGGTGGCCCACAACGGGCAATGCATCACTGTCTTCTCTGCCCCGAACTATTGGTGAGTAAACAATAGAACAGACTTTGTCCTAAACACAGACATCCTAAATGCTGATGTTTCTATTTTTAGTGATACTATGGGCAATATGGGCGCATTTATTACCATCACAGGTAACGACTTGAAACCAAATTACAAATCATTCGAGGCTGTGGTAAGCAATGCACTTAACGTAATAAACAATCATTTACTTAACAATGTTTTTGTTTGTTTTAGCCACATCCCGATGTCAAGCCGATGGCATATGCCAACAGCCTAATGAACTGGTTGGCGTAGTCATAGAAGTCGAATCAATTTCCAATTAACTACAATAGCTAAACACATACAAAACACACAACAAACAAACAGCTTGAGAACCCTCACAACCGCAGAGCAGTCAACGAACAAAGAAAATTCAGATAGATAGTGGATGCAAAGAGGATTCTGGAGATGCTCAATAGACTTTTATTCACACACACACACACAAACACACACTCACACTCACACCACACACTGTGACTAGCTGCTTCACTACTTAAGGTGCGACGAGTATTGCGAGTCAATGAGAGAAGAAAAGGATCACAAATACAGAAACAAAAAAAGAACAGCAATCATTTTATAAAATTCAGCTATATTTGATACAGATACAGATGCAGATACAGATCGAGGATGTTATAGTGTTTAGTGGCTTTAGAAGTCGGATGCTAAGTTTTATCGGTGCCAAGCATCTGCGGTTGCACATACGAGTGTAAGTTGAGAAGGAAATTAAATGAATGGAAATGTAATGTTTGTTCATGCATAGCATTTAGTCATTGGCCAAAATCCCAGTACAGTATATACATATACATATGCATACACATACATAAATATACACACACACACACATACTATATATGAAATTCGATTTCAATTCGGTTTGGCGCTACCCTCCTCCCTCCATCAGCAACTGTGTATAAATTATTTTTGTCTTTTTTTTATCCCTTCTTGCCTAGTTTTTATTATAAAGAGTCACTTCAATAAAAAATATTCAAGCTAGCGAGAAACCTCCAATTAAAATCTTTTTCGATACTTTCCTCCTCCTTGCGCTTGTGATGAGGATCAATCAATAATCCAAGAATATTCTTACCATAACTAAAT